GGGCCTGCTTAAACCTGTAGAGCGATCAATGAAGTAAGCACACCTGATTGAAAGTACTAAGTTCATAACTAGGATGGCATTCCATATAAATGACCTCCTTAAGATCCCCGTGAAGAAAAGGCTAACCGCAGAGAGCTGCAACGGCCAAGAGAGTACAAACAGTGGGCATCTTATCAACTAGGAGTGTCGCCCGCCCTTCTCCAGTCTAGATCTGCTTTTTGAGAGCCAGATCCCGGAGCTGATTCGACGATGATCGCTGACCAAAGTTGAGGAAAGAGATTAGGGAGGCTGGGAGCAGCCAAGCTTTGGAGTTTGAGAGACATTAAGAGAGTGGAGGGGGAGCTCAAGTCTGTCTCATGAGACTCTCTACCTCCTTTTGCGCAAAAAAAAATGGAGAAATTAGGTTGCAAACAAACAAAAGCAGTGGAGATAAGGCCGAATTTCTACCCGTAGGCCGTAGCTAGCCTTTTTCAGTGTAGGTTCGATTTCGAATCGGTTTGAAACGGTTCGATTTCAGGATGGTTCGAGTTTACCAAACTGGATGCTCACGCCCTATAATGTAGGTATGAGCCATCTTTTCCATCAGCTTTAAATAAATAGGCGATTTGTTTAGAGGAGGAAAATCCACCCTCAAGACGCCTAGGGTACTAGAATTTCCTCTTAACAAGAATAGTTGATCATTCTACCGTTAATTTATAGAAGAATACTAATACGCCACCACTATACTTGTCGGATCATAAAAATTGTCTATCGTTGTTCAAATTAGTATAATATGTATAATATTATGAAAATACCATTTAATCTAGTTTGATTTTTAAGCTGTTATGTTGGCAATTTCTAATCACATTGATCGATATTAGTTTTACTATGTACCAATAATATTAGTAAAATATATTATTTTATTCTATTTCAACAACAATATTACATCTTCCACAAAAAAAAAAAAAACAATTTTACATCCATATACCATCCCTCAAAAAATAATTGTAACATTCAAATTCATCCCGCTAATTTGTTCCTTTCGACTTTTTCTATGAATCATAAAAAATTTAAACTAATTAATTAATAAATCTACAGTATCATTTATAGCTGAAAAGTAAAACTGCCACCACCATTCAAAATTTCCTGCATCCAGAGGTATTTTGGGAAGCTGACATGGCAGACAGCAACGGAGAACTATTTATTTATTTTGGCAGTTTTTTATTTACTTTGTCTTGCGTGAAAAAAATCCGCCCAGTATTGTAGTGTCCCCGACCCACCACCAACCGCTCCCATCCCGTCCAACTCCTTATGATGCCACTAACCCATGGACGTAACCTTTTTTTGTGTAACTCGCTAAGTAATGAATATATATATACTTTAAACTAATGAAAAGAGAATGGTAAAGCTAGCACCCTCTGCTCCCATAAAATGACATAAAAGCTAGATGAGATTTGTACCAAAATATCTTGCATTACTTTTATGAATAATCAGAATTGAACTACATGGCACTTAGGTGTTTCAGGTTTAGTCATTTTAATCACTTGATTTATACATTTTGGTTTTGAAAATACTAAATTCAAACCCACTCAAAAAAATTAGAACCCTACTAATTTTTTATTATTAGGTTTGGTCGGGTAGACAATAACTTTAAGTAATAATCCAACTCAACACAAAAATATGTTATACTTCTATAATTGTTTACAAGAAAAAAAAAAGCGAACCGTGGCTTATATAAACTCTAAATCTTAATTTTCAGCTGAAAAATACATTAGTTTATTGAGACCATAAGAAGAAAATATGACAAAATATCTGAACTTCCTCACAAATATGTTTGTATACGACACAAACGTTTTGAGAACAAAAACTTAGGAAAATAATTGTAATATGGGTTGTGCTGGGTATCTGTGGGTGTGTAACCCAAAACTCGAACCAACCCAAAAGGGACGGGTTCCACCAAAGAAAAGGCTCACTCAAGTTTAAACCTTCATTTTAGCAAAAAATACAGGTGGGTTGGGTAAGGTTAGATAAGTGGGTTGGGTTTTTTTTAACAAAGAGTAACCCTTTTATTCCAAGTAAATCTAAGGAGGTGACAAATGGTTCATTACAACAAAGGAGCAATAATATTAATAACTAATAGCCAGTCCTCAGGTAGTGACAACATTCGTGCCCTGACAGTCCGCCCAGTGCGCCATTGTACTCAAACATCCCTTCCTAAACCTAGGTGCGCACTGGGCTTGATTTGACTGATTGGGTCAGGAGTGAACCATTGTGGTATTGTGCAGCCTGATTTATCATATTACCAACCAGATCAGGCTTTGTCGAATTATGGGTAACAAAAAGTATACTTATTATTTGTCATATTAGTGGTAGTTGGTTGAAATGTAGTATTTCTTGATGTAGCCAAATCAAGTAATGAGTGCATTTATATAGTGTCATTTACCTTGATGTTAGGAACGAGTAAAGACTTATTTACCTAAATGCGTATAGCTGTGTGATTTAAACAAATTAATTTATGTTAAAATGATTTATACATTGTCTAACATCAAGTTAGCCCAAAAAAATCCAAACTTTGAAGAATTCGAGAAACATTCGCGAATTATTATTTGTTGAAGCACAAATCATGCAAGGAAATTCACGAATTAAGGGATGCGAGCGAAAGATAATAGCACATGGATGATCTACTAATCACCAGCGATCGACTACGAGTCTGTAGAATCAAGATCCCTACACGTGTTGTGAACTCAACGGAATTAAGAGCTTGGGAATATATTGGAAGAGATATATTCGATGAGAATATTGAGGTGGGTACGAATCTAGAGATTATTTGGACTGATACGACTCTATAGAATCATGGCTCTTTATATGTGTTGTGAACTCAATGGGATGAAGAGCTCGGGATTAGATTAGAAGAAAATGATTCAATGAGATTATTGAGGTGGCCACAAATATAGAGATAGTGTGGGCTAATACAATAATTTTCTTCATTAGAATTTTGGGATTTTGGAGACGATAGGTTCATTTATGATAGGGAACAAAGGGTTGACGGTCTTTTGTGCCATGTGCTCGCTATACGTCCTACTGTTGTTGATTTTCTGTCCATATTTTCCTCCAGTTTTTCTCCAAAAAAAATTCCAAAATGATTTTGGATGTGTATCTTAAATTTCTATTTCTTCTCCTATTTTGTCTAGATGTTTTTGTAGTATGCTTAGATGTTATGTCGTGTCTTGAGGATAGAGGTTTGCTTTGGCTTTTGGGAGAGTTCCCCTTATGTAACTTTGTTTTAATCTTTCAATTAAAAGGAATACCTGTTTTGCTTAGAGATTCCGATGTATATGAATATATTCAATAATTCCTTTTAGTTTCAATTACCCAATGATGAGCGGGAAACAAGCAAACCAAAGTTAGTGTCCTAAGTTAGTTTATATGCTGTTACATATTACTGTTTATTTATACTCGGATCAATTTTGCCTATGAAGCAATTCATGTTTCTCAGCTTAGTTTTGAAGTATTCAAAACTTTAAATTTATTTTAGCTTATTTTTTAACTACAATGTACCTTTGTATGATTAAAAGTTGTGTGGTTGTAGTTATTGATAAAACTGTTCAACAATGACTTTTGTGCACTGTGAAATTTCAATAACCAAGAGAAAATGATGAAAGGCTCTTGGTCATCGTAATAGAACAACTTTGGGTTTGCTAGACAAAAGACGAAGAATCTGAGAAGGAAATAGGTCAAAGAGGTGATCAAATTTTTGTTTAGTTAGCTATTATGCGATTGCTTTTTTAGAGTCTTTTTTATCTGATTTAAATTTTTCCTATTTTATTTTTGTTTTGTCATTTAGTTCTTTGTCAACCTTTTTATGTGGTTATGTTTTTAAATAATTTTGTTATGATGCATTGTTTCCCGCCAGCTGCAAAACTGATTCCTAAGAGGCTGAATTCCCACCAGCTGCACTTCAATCTATGCCAGGTCCAAGTTTCATATGCTTTCTTTCTCTTTTTAGAATAGTGGTGTATGGAATGTCGCTTGGTTGTTATTTGTGTTTCCTTATAGTCACGTTATGTGTAATAGGTGATTGAGGGAGTATGCAAAAGACTAATTAACTTAGTTTTGTGAGTTTAAAGCTCTTTGATTCAAAATAGTGAATATTTCTGATTCCATTAATATTTGGTGCATTTTTATGCTCTTTATGTTACTTGGAGTTTCTGTTTCCAAGAGTGACGATGAGAAGGGATGTGGAACACCTATTCAATGCTTAGGGTTAATTGGTAGCTGATCATTCACTTGCCTAACAAGTGATTGCTTTTGGACCTTTTAAGTGTATTGTTTTTTGAAATTTTTCTAAAATGATTGGACAATTAACCCTCAACCTACTTGCTCGATCGAGCTAACGGGCTAAATCGGGTTGACGATAAACATTAGTATCTAACACTTAATAACTCCACTTATTATTCAAACAAGTCTATACACTAAATTATACTAATTTGTACAATAACATTTTTTTTTTGTTTTTCATATTTGAGATTTCTAAGCATATAACCTTTTCGTTATTCTCTTGATTTTTTTATAGACCTTCAATTCCCACAAATTCTAAATGACAAATATTTCCTTCGAACTCCATATTCATATCCGACAATAAGAAGTGCAATTTTTTTTTCTAAGATAAACTATGACGACTTGATAAAAAAATACATATTAATTAATTATCGCTAATGCCATAATCAACAAATACCATAAAGATTACTTTGAAGTAATGAATTAACTATTTTTAGAAAACTCCCAATTATTTATGAAAAAATTTATCACCATAAATAAACCAAAATTCATTCGACCAACGGGTGGTCAGGTAACAGCTAGTAAATGAAATAGAGAAAGCCGCTGCCGCTAACCCTCTCGCTTTAAATTCTCGTTCAAATCAATTCAATTCTCAATTGCAATCTCACGGGTGGGACCCATTCTTTGTTAATTGCGGTCACGAAGCTCGTCCCGTCTTTATTCAATTCCACTCTATCGGCTTACCTATTTTTCTTTTAAATCAAAAAATAAATGCAGAAAATGTTCTATTTTTCATCGTCTTCCTCCCGAGAGAAATTTAACTGACCTCCGCAACCGGCAATAGATTGCGTAGCGAGGGAGTTCCTTCCTCTTCCAGTCCAGTCCAGTCCAGTCCAGAGAAAGGAAAAAGATAGACTCCCTCTGCCCGCTACCAGCTTCCTTCTTGGTGTGGTTGTCTGCCCGCTGCCCGATTTCCCCTCCTTTCTTCTTCTTCTTCTGCGATTACCCTCTTCACCTTATCTTTCTTCCTCTTTCCCCACCCTCGCTGTTGCTTTGCTTACCTCCTCTCCATTACTGCCCATTTTTTTATTCTTGTTTTTGTTTTCTAGCCTGTTATTTTATTGATTGTTTTTTCGGTTTTCGGGGGAGGGTTTTCGTCCGTTTTTCTCATCTATCAACTCCCCTGCCTCTCCTCCTTCCCCACTCCCACCGCAAGATCATCTGCTTTCTTCTCCATTCTTCTTCTTCATTCTCTTTCCTCCTCCTACTACTTTCTTTTTGTCATATCCCCGCTGCCTTTTTCTCTACCACCACCGCCCTCCCGCGTCTTTGTTATCATCGTCATCTCGTGTTTGTCCTCCAATTATCTGCAGATATTCGGGGGTGCATTTCTGGGTCTTCTCTCAGATCGTCTCAATAAGCTGATCATCGCCTTCTGTTCATTTTTTGATTGCAAAGGTCTCGTCTTTTCTGTTCTCTTTTTCTTCTTCTGGGGTTTGGTATATTGTTGTTTGCTTGCGTGTATGGGAATATGGAACAATTGATTTCTGGGCTTTGCTTCTGCTTTCCGCTTTTTCATTGTTTCCCCCTTTTTTTCGAGCGATCATTGACACTGTTGAATGGAAATTGCAGGATCGGTTGCTTCTGTTTGTTCCTGAAAGCAAATTGAAGAGGCTTGATATTTAAGGTATCCATACTTTTGCTTTCTGGTTTATCTATGGTCTTCCGATTTCTTCCCTTTTAGTGGTTGACAAGTTCTGGGTTTCGATAGATTTGTTGGGTTCTTGGTGAAGATAAAATCTTTAGGTTTTTGCGCACCCTTCCATTTGCATTCCGTTTTTCATTCATCAGTCTTGCTATTTGTGTCAGACAAGTTCTTTCTTCCATTTCCTGTACATCGCTTTTCGATTTTATCTCTCTGTGATTGTTTCACTTCTTCCCATGATCGGTACTACCTACTTCACTGGAGCTTTCATTTGCGGTTTCTACCTAATTCACTTTCCCAACAAATTTTGCGTAATATTAGTTCATTGAACTTGAAGGTTTTGATCTCATCTGTCTTGTTTGGCTATGCAATTTCATCTGTGAGTGTAATTTTGATGGAAGAAGTCTTTCGCAAAGCATTTGTGTTTCCTTCGCAGAGGGATATGACAAAGAGAGTTGTTGATCACATTGAGCTAAGTGGTCTGATGCCTCGATGACCTTGCCCCATTGTTTCTTTTTCTCTTTTTAGCATGGTTTTCAGCCCTTTATTAGACTTGTGGTGAATTCCCACTCTATGTGGGTGCATGATTCAGACCGTAAACTTAAAACCGCACATAGTGTATTAGAAGATCAGGTGCCTGATGCGCTGCAACTCTGTGCATGTAACGTCTTCCTAATGTAGTTGAGACTTGCAGGCGTTACGTTGATTCGTTGCACAGTTACTACCTGGATAGGAATGTTTTGTGGTACAGATGATATTATGATAACCGACACAAAGCTGTTTCTAAGCCTTGTATTCTGTATAGGTCGCCACGTAACTTAAGCATTAGTGATCCAAAAGCCTGTTCTGGCAGAGCTTTGAAAGTTCTCTCTGTTTACCTTGTATGTGCCGATCGATGGCAGCTGGCACATTGATACGTTGATGCTTGATCGATGTTTTTAACTTTTCTATTGGCGCGAAGACACGTGTCTAGGCTCTTACATCTGAATCAAATTAGGCAGTTTTATGCTTAGTAGATAATTGGATTTTTACATGTTTTAACTTAATAACTTTATTATTTTTTATTTGTTTATGAATTGGGTAGTAGTAACAATGGTTGAAGTTCATAACTAGCTTCGTTGCCGGGGACAACTTTGAGAAGTTGAAAGTGATGTTGCTCTGCTCTTTTGCAGGTGAAATCATCTGTTTATATAATTGAAGCCTTTGAAGTTAATGATAAATAGATTGCTCGAAAATGCTGGGAGGCAATAGTGGCAATCCCCTTCTTCCAGTTTTTTTGGATGAGAACCGCATTCCTTATCAGAACAACGCTTCTAACCAGCTGCAGTTATTTGGTAATTGTGAGTGAAAAATTTATGATTTGGTCACAATTATGCTTTCGCTTACTTTGTCCTTATTTTGTGGTGCTACCCAGCATTATATTTGTAACTATGTATGCATGTGACAAACATGAGAAGCAACCTTAAATGAGCAACATGTAGTGGGAAAAGGTTTTGGCTGGACAATGGACATTCAAGATCTTGATTCTCTATATTCTGTACTTGTGGTTTTGTTATTTGCAACAGGGAGTTCATCTAGCACTGCTTGAAATAGTCTAAACTGAAACCGATATTGAAAGATATCGTATTCCCTAATTTAGTACCTTTTAGCTGTTATTTTATTGTTGAGTGAAAACTTGTCTTTGTTTTTTGAAAGGTTGGTTGGCTATTTAACCTCTTTGGGAAAGTATATTTTCTGATAGTGTCGTCTACGTGTGGTGTGTCAGTGCCAGCTGGATGTAACGTTGATGCTGTGAACTATTTTGGAAATGAGCATATATCTCCCATGCTTCAGCCCAATAAACGAACGAGGGAGGCGGAAGATTTTGGTAGACAACAGAAGCTCCAAATTTCATTGAATTATAACATTTGCCAAGATGAAGCTGACCGATCAGCAAGTGCTCCAAACAATCCTAATGCTGTGTCAACTGGGTTACGCCTATCATATGATGATGATGAACGAAACTCATCTCTGACTTCAGCAAGTGGGAGTATGACAGCAGCAGGACCTTCAGTGATCTTGTCATCCCTTGGGGACAATATTCGGTCTGAGCTTGATCGCCAGAAAGAGGAATTTGATCAATATATCAAACTTCAGGTACTCTTCTTCTTAATGCCCCTCCCTCAGTTAATGCTTGTAGTGTTTGGTAGACCCATTTGTCTTTGAGAAATCTTTCTTTAGCTTTGCTAGCCTTCTTAAGTTCCCATTAAATTGGTTGTGCTCGTAAGCATCTGTAATGATCATTGATTTCGACTAATATATTACTGTTTGTAGATGTGATGTCGCCCTCTGTTATGTTATCATATATAATCCATGTGTTGATTGTTTTAGAAGAAAGAACAGGTGGTATATGTTTTGAGCTCTTAGAAGAGTTGTCTAGTCGTTATTTGTTATGATGGTGTTTCCATATGATGAAATAGGAGGAGCACCTGGCTAAGGGAGTGAGGGACATGAAACAGAGACATGTTGCCTCATTTCTTGGTGCTATTGAGAAGGGTGTTGTGAAGAAAATTCGAGAAAAGGACTTAGAGATAGAGAATGTGAACCGTAGAAACAAGGAGTTGATTGACAGAATAAAGCAAGTGGCGACTGAAGCCCAGAATTGGTACTACAAGGCAAAGAACAACGAATCACTGGTCAATGTCCTGAAGACCAATCTCCAGCAGGCAATTTCTCAGGGTGCTGAGCAAGTAAAGGAAGGATTCGGTGACAGTGAGTTCGACGATGCTTCCTCTTGCGTTGATCCTAACAACAACTACCTGAACATGACAACAGGTGGTTGTGGGCCTTCATCAAAGCCTCTCTCTCGGCGAGGCGGCTCTAAAGAGCATATGACCTGCAGAGCATGCAAAGCAAGGGAGGTGTCGGTATTGTTAATGCCGTGCAGGCATCTGTGCTTATGTATAGACTGCGACATGTTCGTCAATGTTTGCCCTGTATGCCAGTTGATCAAAACTACCAGCATCCAAGTATACTTGTCCTAAATTATGACAAACTGTGAACTGAGACATCACTCAAAAGTGAATGGAAAAAGAAGGGGAAAAAAGAACAGGGTCATCTTAACTCTCTTCTATGATGGAAGAAAAATCAAACATTACCCAGGGCCTGTCCTGGGATTACAAATGTTGTATTTGGAGTAACCTTGTTTTATTTTTGGGAAAATGGAGTTTGAGTAAAGCATGTTTCTGTCCCATGTTTTGCTATCTACTATGAGAAGTGTTATTGAGTGCCTGTTTTTTTTTTCTAAACCATGGAAAGAAGGTAGCTGATCTGGTGGTATATATAGCTTAAGTGGGAAAGGGCTTTTCTGCCAGTCGAGGCAATCTTAGCCTCGCTGTATGATTGCTTTGCAATTGCATCTGATGCATTACAAAATGCAGAAATCCAACTTGCATAACAGCTTCTTAGATTATGCATTTATAACTGAGTCTTGTTTCTGTGATTAGGTTACAATTGTGGGGTACAGTAATTGAAGCAAAGCTTTAACGGGAACCAAGTCTTCTGTTTGTGAAACACTGAAAAACAGCAGCACAGAGTTGGGGTTGGCATGGCTGACTGAGATAGATAAGAAAGAAACACAAATGAATCTGACTGAGCAGCATAACAGCTGAACAAAATCAAACACAAGCTGAAACGCCCAGCTTAACTTGGAGCGACGTCGTACAAGGGAAGAAGAAGATGGCGCCAAGTCAGCAATAGTAATGTTGGATTTCAAATGTTGTCTTCTCTGTTTTTCACACTGTTCTTTTTCATTTTGTTTACCCTTCAAGTTTTGGACTGTAGCTACTGGAAACCATATATATGCTTCAAAGTGAATGAGAAGGTTTTTAGGGTTTCCAATTCATCTCAGCTGTTATGGTATCAGAGCCTCAACCCTAACTGCCGTTAATGAACAATGGCCGCAGCCACTGCTGCTCAACAGGCCAACACCTCTTCCACTACTCTTCCACCCACTCCCAATGTCAATCCGATGTCCGATCCCTACTACCTTCACGAGTCAGAGCAACCCGGTCTTCTCTTGGTAGGTGAAAAACTCACTACCACAAACTACAATGATTGGAGCAAAGCAATGTTTAATGCCCTTGGAGCGAAGAACAAAATCGGCTTCATTGTTGGCACCATTGTTCCTCCTGGTGCAACTGATGCCCTCTACTGGTCCTGGAGTTGCAACAACATCATGGTTCTTAGCTGGATCCAGCAGGTTGTTGAACCAGGTATTGGCAAAACCCTTATGTCTCTCAAACTCGCATCGGAGGCCTGGCTAAGCTTGAAAGCACGTTATGGTCAAGGTGACGTTGTTCGCATAGCTGAACTAATTGAGGCCCTCTCTAGCTTGAAGCAAGGCACTCAAACCCTAAATGAATATTATGGTCAGTTCATTACTATTCAGGATGAATTAGATGGGTATCAGCCGATTGAACTCTGCACCTGCACAGAAACCAGTCCTCAGTTGTGTGCTACTATTAAGTTAGTTCTTGGCTATAGAGATACAAACTATATCATTCAATTCCTCCGTGGCCTAAATGAAAACTACAGTACTGTTAGGTCTCAAGTCCTGTTTGGTGACACCCTTCCCTCGATTGATAAAGTCTTTCAAAGGCTCCTTCAACATGAGAGGTAACAGTATGGAACACAACTAGGCAAAGTGCTTGTTGCTGATTCCTTTGCTCTGGCTTCTCAAGGCAGACATACTGGACCTCCTGGCAGGCGCACCTACTGCATCTACTGTAAGCAGAATGGTCACACTGAGGATGTGTGTTACCACAAGCATGGCTGGCCTCCTGGTATGATTCCAAGACCCTGATACGCGCTGAAATTATACGAATGAATTGATCCTTTTTCTTGGCAGGATTGAGCTAGCCTTTCTCTTTTCTTGGCGAGAAACTAACTAGAGCTTGACACTAGAATTCTGCTTGCCTTCTTATTCACCCCAGCTCTTAGTTTAAATACATCAACGACTCAAAATGGAATTAACTAAGTCCTATTCCTATGGAACCCCTAACAGCTAACCATGATGCTATCCCATCTCCACTTATTCTACTAACTCAAACAAGACTCTAACTACCTTGCTGACTTCAAATAACAAATGTTGCTGACTCAAACAAATAATTCAAACAACCAACAATCCCAACGACAAGCTTCTTGTGCATGTATCCTCTCTGAACTACCCCACGTAACGACGATTGGGTTGTGGTACTCAGACTGATCTTCGAGTGGGCTGGGCCGCGGGAAGAGTGGACTCATCATTACCACCCCCTGAAGTATTGGCATTGTCCTCAATGCCCAGCTGGATGTAGCGTGCATGGAACTCACCAGCAACCTCCCACGCAGCATCGTCATGCGATAAGGACTTCCACTTGATGAGCAGTTCTTCAACCCAGCGAGAGCCGCGTTTCACCCAACGCATGTCCAAGATCGCTTCTGGTTGGAGAAGGATGGCGCCGTCGTTGTCGATAGGAGGGATGTCGACAGTAGTAGTAGGTGGAGGACCGTGACAACGGCGAAGCAATGAGACATGAAAAACTGGATGTACGCGGCTCCCCGGTGGAAGTGCAAGGCGGTAGGCCACGAGACCAATGCATTCGGAGATCATGTATGGCCCAAAGAAACGACACGCCAATTTATGAGAGGCCCGTCGGAACACCGAATGTTGCCGATAAGGCTGCAACTTTAGGTAGACCCAATCGCCCACGAGGAATTGCTCTTCGCGGCGGTGGAGGTCGGCGTTTTGCTTCATGCGGTGACGCGCTATGGCGAGATTGGTCTTGAGCTCGTTGCGATCCACAATGGCACAATCCACCTCATGCACCGATGTGGTTCCAGGACGATAATGAGGAATAGTGGCCAGCAAGCGGTTATACAGAGCTTGGAAGGGGGTCATACCTGTCGAGCTATGGTAGCTCGTATTGTACCAGTACTCAGCCCATGGAAGTGAAGCGAGCCAACGCCAGGGCTATTGATGAGTGAAACAGCGTAAGTATTGTTCTAGACAGCGGTTGACCACTTCAGTTTGTCCGTCGGTTTGTGGGTGATAAGAAGAGGACATGTTGAGTGTCGTTCCGGATTGGCGATGCAGCTCCTGCCAAAAACTACTCATGAATACCCGATCACGATCGCTGACGATGGAACGGGGAAGGCCGTGGAGCTTGACAACGTGAGCCACGAAACTGTCCACCACGGTTCGGGCCGAATAAGGGTGTGCCAGAGCGATGAAGTGGCCATATTTGGTCAGCCTATCCACGACGACCATGATCACCGATTTACCGCCAGAACTAGGTAAACCATCAATAAAATCGAGGGAGATGTCCTCCCATACCTGAGTCGGAATCGGCAATGGCTGGAGGAGACCGGCTGGTGCGAGGGATTGGGCTTTCGCGCGCTGACAGACATCACAGGAACAGATGAAGCTCTTCATGTCATCCATCATGTCTAGCTAATAAAAGAGTGAGGAGAGCCGCTTGTAGGTGCGTTCTACACCAGAATGGCCGCCAACGGGAGTGCTGTGGAACTCCTCCATCAGCTGGCAGACGTACGACGAATGGGGAGGAACCACAATCCGATTGCGATAGAGTGCCATTCCGTTTACGGATCGAGTAGTGTCCTGGTGTGGTTGATGCTGCCCGAGAGAAGATTTGCTTCATATCCTTGGACGAATTTTCGATAATAGCCAGTGAGACCGAGGAAGCCACGGAGCTCGGTGATGGTTGTCGGCGTTGGCCAGTCAATCATGGCCTGGATTTTCCGCGGGTCAACCTTGACGCCCACGACGGTGATGATATGGCTGAGATACTCGATTTCTTGTAATCCAAAAGCATACTTGGCGAACTTGACATAAAATTGATGGTGTCAGAGAATGGCGAATACCTGGCGGACATGCTCGATGTGGGTCTTCATATCGGGGCTGTAGAACAATATATCATCGAAAAAGACGAGCACAAACTTACGAAGAACCGGTCGAAAAATCTCGTTCATTATGACCTAAAACGTGGACGGAGCGTTGCAGAGGCCAAAAGGCATTACGAGGTATTCGTAGTGGCCGTTGTGGGTGCGAAATGCTGTCTTCTGGATATCCGCATCCGCCATTCGAACCTGGTGGTAGCCAGCCGGAAGATCTAGATTCGTGAAATATGCAGCGCCGTGGAGCTCGTCGAGCATATCGTCAACGGTTGGGATAGGAAAACGATCCTTGATGGTCACCGCGTTTAATGCCCGATAATCCGTACAAAATCGCCACGACCCATCCTTCTTTTTCACGAGCAGAACCGGGGAGGAGAAAGGACTCAAGCTTGATCGAATCAAACCCGCAGCGAGCATCTTATTAACCTGGTTCTCGATCTCTTCCTTTTGGAAATAGGCATAGCGGTAAGGCCGGACGTTGACTGCGTCCGTTCCTTCCTTCAGCATGATGCGATGAGCGATTTGGCGGTGTGGGGGAAGCTTACTAGGTTCGTCGAAGAGATCATCAAACTCCCGGATGAGGTCTTGTAGTGCTGCCGGAACCGGTGTAAGGACCTCGTCGGTCGGGGATGGGATACTGATGGCTCGAAGTCCTGGTTCCCCTTGTGAGATTCCGCGGAGATCCGTGGCGTGGGTGCTGGGTACAGTGATTCCCCGTAATTTGCAGGTGTGTCCCGCCCATTCTAAAGCCATATCCAAAGTCTTCCAATTGCTTTGGATTGTGCCGAGAGTTGCTAACCATTGGATGCCGAGAACAACGTCAAACCCGCTTAGGGGAATGGCGAAGAGAGTCATAGGAAACTTATGGCCTTGAATGTTGAGGAGCACCCCATCATGTTTGCCTTGACATTTCAGAGGAGCTCCATTAGCTACCTTCACGTTGAAAGCAGAGATTGGAGTGCCACGGAGCTGGAGGGCGTTGGCCATTTTAGTACTGATGAAGTTATGTGTAGAGCCACTGTCAATGAGAGCTACCAGCTTGGTTTGGCCCACTGAGGCCCAAACGCGCATGGTTCGCCCACCAGTCTGGCCCATAATGGCATTGACGGATACCTCGGCCAGTTCGACGTCGAACTCCTCCTCGTCTTCATCAAGCAGCATCATCAGGCGTGGTTTAGCGCAACGGTGAGCGGGTGTGAATTTTTCATCACAATTGAAGCACAGACCAGCAGCACGGCGACGATTGATCTCCTCGTAAGGTATTCGTTTAGCTCCCGGTGGCAATTGAGGACGGATCCGACCTCCTTGTTGGGGGTCGGCGGCTGGTCTCGGACGAGCGGCGAAGGAAGCCTCAAAGGTTTGTCGTGGCTTCGGTCGCGGGGGATTCGTGTAATCCATTGCTGATCGAAAGGGTTGTCGTGGTGGACTTCTGTACCGGGAGAGTTGGTCCTCCCGAGCGCGTGCCAGATTGATCGCGTCCTTGAGAGTTCTGGGTCCGAAGATGCGGATCCCATCCGCCACGTCCGGCTTGAGGCCACCCATGAACGTACCCACCAATGCATGTTGAGTCCAGCCGTGGACCCTATTCCCCAGTCGTTCAAACTCCGTGAGGTACTCCATAAGAGTCCCCGTCTGTCGGATGCGAGAAAGGGCTTCGTCGAAGCTGGTGCCTGCGGTTTCCCCGAAACG